TTAACATTATCAATAGATTTGGAAATTGCATTTAAAGAAATTGTAATTTACTATTTGAAATTAAGTAAGAATATTATTCGGGGACATCCAAATAATTATAAATAATTATTAGGAAATTAATCAAATAATTTTCTATTTTCCTGGTTGAATAATAAATAATACGCTTGGCGTGTGTGCATTTTATTAAAAAAAAAAAATATATATATATATATATATATGCGCTATAGAAAAAGGTGGGAATATTTTAATAATAATAATAATAATATAAATTGTAAAGTAGAGAAAATCGAGGGATGAATAATCGAAGGCAATTAAGCTCGTGCCAAACTACTTGAATCGTAGCTGTAGGTCCCATTAATTCTTATGGCATTTTAATTTAAACTTCATCGATCGAATTGCAAAAAAAAATATTCAATATAGATTACCGTAATGAAAACAGTTTTAATATTTTTAATAACAAATGTAAGGTAGCAGGACCTTATCCAATATATAATAAATATAATGATGGTGAGTGAGCGACATGATAGGCGAGTAAATACGTATCTTAACGGTCGTCAAAACGACCGATCTTACTTATAATCCTTTTAACGATGCTTCGATAAAAACAATGACGGTAAACCAGCTAAATCAAAATTCTAAATCTAAATAATAAAATTGATCAACCGCTCGATTAACTGCAAAATTGAACTCGATGGCTCATTTTCAGCCTAATGTTTATATTAAAGGCCCTCTCTCGTGTGAGCCAAAAGTGTTAAAAAGTCTAAGGCGCAAATAATTAATCGGATTTGGTGCAGAAGGACAATAGAAACGCGAAAGAGCAACAAGAGGTGACTCAGGCGGTCGTCTTACTATGCGCCATAACAGGTATAACGGCCATAACGATCGTAATGGCCTTTGGATAATAAACGAGGCGATTTCATATTCACATGAAGCGAGAGAGGATAGGAGAATAGCGGATAATCGAGCGGAGACGACACGCGGAACAAGTAGTAGACATTGATCGGAAGGACAGAAGGACGGAAGATCGCGTTCGTTCGGTGGCTGTCTCATATCGTAAAGCGACTTACTTACACCAGCTCAAGCACCCACGCTAGCTTTTAAAAATGGATATTACGTGCGCTTAATGTAAACAGCGGCGTCTCTTCTTTAAAAGCCGCCAAGGGAAATAAAAAAAATGACGTGGTTTGCGCGTGCGGGAGTCCTGGCGCATCCGGAGGCCTGCGAGTTGGCGAGTTGGCGAGTTACATTTCATTCGAGACGATTGATGGCGCGGCTCATCGATACTCTGGCAGCGCTCGTTCTCTTCGTATACCTCGAATAAGAAATGCTAATGCTTCGACCGACGCCTTTTCGCGCTAATTACGCGCTATTACTTTTGTTTACGTGTCGCACGTGCGCTTTTGGGCGGCACGTTGCTTTTTACGTTTGACTCAGTGACTCTCAGCGATTCTGCTTGACAAAATATACGAGCGAATTCGAGATACCTGAGCATGGCGTCGCTTAATTTGCTTAGTCGCTTTATCCTTAGAGAACCTCGTAACGTCCCAACACTATCGAAGTTTTCTTAAAAATTTCTCTCTTCTTTATAAATGTAATTGGAAATTACATAAAGAGTACATACATACATTATTGATATATTTGAAAAATTGCAACATTATATGTACAAGACTAAATGCCGCTAATATTTAGTCATAAATATCATTTACAGTATTATAGTTTTTTTAAATTATTAACATTTTTGCGATACTCTTCGAGCATACGCAGTAGTATGGTAGAGAGGCAAAACAAAGGAAAACAAAAAAAAAACAAAAAAAAAAAACAAAAAAAACAAAATACAAGTTAGAAAGAATCGTTGAAAATATTTTTGTTTAAACATATCTTCCCGGTATAGTTCTCTTAGTTTACCAGGAAAAACTAGGGTTTCCAAAAAATGCGCCTACCATTTAACATTACAATGTAAATAGTATGATGATCGAGTGACATTTTCTAATGCCTATGTATAAAAGCAAAAAAAAAATAATAATAATAAAAAAATATTTATTTAGACGTTTAAATTTTTAATTTTTTCCTTCTCTTTCAATGGTATGTTCGTATTTTAGTAACAGGCGTAAAGTTGCTTTTGTAAGCATGAAATTAATGAAATAATCGTAGTAAGTTATTATCCAGTAATTTTGTTGTGTAAAAATACAAATTTGGTAACGTAGGCATAAGGCAAGTTTGTGAATGGTATGGATTATCTATTTTATAATTAGTGTTTCCGTCCATTAAAATAGTTGCTGCATTTATGAAAATTTATGATCGATCTTTATGTATCAAGCAGAACCTTGATTCGAAGGATTTTTTACTAGGAAATTTTCTTGGCTTTTAATTAAAACATAATACCATTATACAATAGTGAATTCTTTCGTACAAATAGGAAAAAATGATTTGTAGTTTTAATATAAGCTGTTTCATGGATTCGTATCCGCAATGAATAATTAAAAATGTAATTGAAATAAAAACTGCATTGGCGCGAATGCAATGCAAGATTTAATTTTTTAATTTTCATTTTTATTTGTCATGCTCGGTTAATTGAATTTTAATCGTTAAATAACGAGTCTCATTATATTCATAAATTGTAAAACGTTTTCATATGCGTGTCAATTTTTCAAAAATTATTTGTAGTTTATGAATAATGATTAACTCAATGCTTTGCATACTACAAAAGTAAGAAGCATTTTAAGCTTCTTTGTTTTATCCACATTTACTCGAACTTTATGACTGTATTGTAAATCATATAAAGCAAAATTTACGATTATATAGCGAATAAATTATATTTAATACTTTATAAGGTAGTTTTTCAAATTTAAAGTAAATAATTTGATTGTAACAATTAATTGATGTGTATATATATATATATCTATATACATATATATATTTGTAAGGTTTTGAAATTATTTATTCTAGCAAATTGTTATGGCAAAATTTAATCGTATGAAAAATATTTTACATACAGGATAATAGGAGGAATTGTCAATACTCTTAAGATCGGTCGCTTCCATGAAAATTTCGACTACAGGCGAAAACTATCATATTTCTTTAGAATTAAGACATTAATTGCAAGATATTAATTAAAAGTAAGTGGACAGGGTTCGTGATCCAGAAAATATACATATACTAAAATATACATGCATAAAACCTTCTAAATCTTGTGTCTTGGTCCATAGCAATTACCACTTCAATACAATACGAATGCAATACAAATCTCCCGGCGCGTAAGTTTATTAAAATCAAGGCCTATATTTTTAGTCATAGTTATTGGTAATAAACAAGATATTGTTTTAAACAGTCCTTGCAAATATTCTTATATCGAATATTAATTGCACAGACGCGCGTGGCTATATGTAACCATTGATTGTGTATTCTCAATGTGAGAAGAAAAACATTTGTTCGTCGTCCGATGAGATTCCCATCGAAAATTTCCCGACGCCTCTTCATTTCATCTTCATTCGAGCAGGAAAAAAAGGGCTCGAGAGCGTCATACGCCATACCATTCGCAATGAGAAATTACGTTTGCCTATGCGAACAAGTGCAACTGCATGCGCAGGCGAATCAAATAGCATAAACAGGTATAGCGCAAACTCGCGGACCGGCGATTTCTCTAATTAAAGGGTTTTAGAATTAGCAGTGCGCGAAAAAAAGCAGTTCGCAATCAATCACTTTCACGGAATTGCGAAATGTGAGCGAAACGCAAACATTCCTAGCGAGCGAAGTGGCTGCAATATGCGCGTGAAACGGCACTTGCTTACCGAGCCAAACAAAAAAACACAACAAATGCGAAATTGAAAGAAAAACGTAAAACATGTGGTGACCAGCATCAGCCACGCAGCGACAGCAGCAGATGATAATGATTATCCGTCGTTTTCTCGACATTCGTAACTCCCACGCGCGTGCGACCTCGAAAAATCTTTCATTCCGTGTGCATAGAAGGGATCGAGAAAAAATTGTAACGAAAGGATTTCGCATACGTATCCTGCTTTCATATTTGGTTATGAGGATACATGTATGCATAATTTTAATGGGATAGCGACTGAACTGCATGCGTGCTAATTGCAAAACTGGCGTATTATTTTTAACAGTATCGTCTCGCCGTTTGCCGGAAGCTCATGTCGAGTGCTCAAACACATTATTCAGTTCAACTGTCACGACTTTTTAATGAAATGGCTTATTAAGTTCTTAAGATCTCATTCTCGTGAATGATTGTGCGAATTTGTTTTAAGGCTCGTCTCTCTCTCTCTCTCTCTCTCTCTCTCTCTCTCTCTCTCTTTGACTGGCACGCACACGCGCGCGCGCGCGCGCACACACACACACACACTCTCTCTCTCTCTCTTTATATACTTTGTCTGTTTGATCTGTCTGATCTATCTGATCTATCTGATCTATCTGATCTGTCTGTCTGTCTGCCATTCCCACGCTCGATCCAAATTTCTCTCACATTGTATACTCGTTCAAATTCGTAAGTCGTGTTAAAAATGCTCGTTTTTCAAGTGAGAAGAAGGAAAGGGAGTCAGTCGTCGTTAGCGGAAGCGAGTGATGGTGAGAGTTAAGGGAATTTCGCGAAATTCCGGAGCGGCAAATCGACCGTAATCCAGCCCACTTGTCGTGGTTCCGAGGGATTTCCTGAGCTGCGGAACTTCGACGTAGCTAGCCGCGGACGGTGGAGTACCTTGTATAAGAGGTCGAAACCATCAGAGCGCGGTCGCGATCGCTTTGGGACAGACAGCGTCGGATCAAAAGGAGCGAGGAGGCAGGAGGGGAGACTCGAAAGGACGAGTCGCTGAGAAAAGGTCGGATGCGAGGATACGAAGCGGCGCTATAAACGTTGCTCCCGCACAGACCGTTCGGGGATCATTGTAAAGGAGGAGCGGAGTCTAACCTTACGCTGCACACGGACAATAGACCACTCGATCGGTGCTATCGACGCGCGCGTTCGCGTTTGCTACGTACAGTTGCATACTCACCGGACAGCGACGCGTACACTGGAGTCGTCGGCCATCTCTGCTCGTGGTAGCGCGGTGACTTCTTCGACAGACACTCGCGCGCCTTACGTAGGCTCTTGGCGCCCGGGCGGCGAGCTTCGTTGCTCCTACGGGAGGAGTGCGGAGACCCGAGGAGTCATCGCCGTGGCAACGATAGGGGTTGTCACGAGGGTCCGAGCTTCGGGGAAGCCCGGACTCAAGCCAGTCTCCTTTGGCTCGTCTAACGACTCTTAGGCCTAAGTTGTCCCGCAGCTGGACGGAGACTGACGACTGACGACTGACGACCAACGACGAGACGCTGGCGCTGCTTGCACTATTACACCGACAGAACGGACGGTGTCGCTGTCGCTTCTGCGACTCTCCGCAGCCGTTGCTGCCCCTTCCCCGCAAGTGCGACCGTGAAGCCATGCAGAGCCCGTATATGGCAGACATCTTTCGGGCTTCTCTCTCTCTCTCTCTCTCTCTCTCTCTCTCTCTCTCTTGATCATTTAGCCTGCCCTGCCTGTCAGGCACGAGCAGTCTTAGACGGCGGATTATATGGGGTGGGGATTTAAATTACCGGCAGCGGTGATGGTATGGTAACTGCCCGGATACGTTGTTAAGGATCGGGGACCGTGAGCGCGACGAACACGGCATTCGAAAATCGGAGGCTAGTGCTAGACGAGAGCATCGGTGATCTCTTCCCGTCGCGACATCTCGCGAGCCCTGCGCGGCTCTACTTTTGCTTCATGGGTCGATCATTTATTGGGGCATTTTCGAAGCAAATTGTTAAAAACTCTTGCGGCAGCACTTTTGACGCGTGAGGGGCGAGTGTGTCCGCGCAATTTCCGCGCGGACACATTAACGCGATGGACGTAGCTGTTGCACTAATCGCAACGAATCTAAAAGTCCAAGTTCCAATTTCGCGAATGCTTACCTTGAATTACCTTCGCGAGCAACAATAGAATTTTTTTAATCAGCCTAGTAAAGAATTCTAGCCTCTCTCTCTCTCTCTCTCTCTCTGTCTCTCCGCTCCCTCCTCGCCCTCTATTATTTGAAAATCAATATGTTTTTACATTTGGCCAAATGTCCTTAAGATCGTTCAATGCCTAGTCTCATCACGTTTCTTCATCAAACATTTTTTTGTTTATCAAGGCTATTGGCTCTTGACTCTTAAGATTTATATCAATGCTTCACTCAACGCTTTAACGACGCAATCGAGCGTTCTGTGCAAAATATTTTGCGATCTTATGAAATTACTTGTCATTATGAACAACAGAAATTTCCATTTCAATCATTTGTCACATGCATGCAATTATACTATTTTCATTACCAGACTCACCATCATTCGTAATTTTAAAAGTAATTCTTAAAAGAGAATCTAAATAACGAGAACATATGACATTATGTTCACAAAAATATATATCTTCCTTTCTATTTTATATTGTAGATATTGCAATTTAATATTAAAAATAAAAACGCTAAACAAACGTCGTACATTCAAGGTAATTTATTTTTCGAATTCGTAGTAAGGCTAAAAATATTTAAAAGACGTAGTGTAATTTAAACGAATAACAGGTAGAAACTACACAACGAACATAATATTATTCTTGCACATACTTAAACGTGTCAATAAAATTAATTATTTGTAATGCAATATAGCTGTCTTACTACAACAAGTAAATACATATTGAATATTATAAGGGATTTAAGAATAATAATCGAAATATATTATATTTAATGCATATTCTATTTAATAAAAGTTGTTTGGATGAAAAGTACATTGTGAGCAATAAGTTACAATTGTAACATTTATGATCTTAGAAATGTATTCAACAAATTTATTTACTAGTAATGAAATGTAAGTCTAGCTTCGTAAGGATTCAGGTTTTAATTTATTACAAATATAAATGCATCATATTAAAGTTAATGAGATCCATCGTCTGTCGCAATTTGTCATCTTGCTGCATATTATCGAACCATCTTGATACGTGTACATGTTCGGCTTTCTCTTGCGGAGTCAGTCTTTGCTGCAATACACAAGGCAATTTCATTTATCCGATAGGCTCTTAAGCGCTACTAATTTTTTATCTTACCATTAGTCCATGCAGAGCATAATAAAGAGTAATATCGGCGATAGTTTTTTTGGTTCCAGAAACGTAGGTACTCATTTTTAGTACGCTGTTCAATTCCTGAAATAAGAATTTACACCTCTTATCGCTCGTACAACATAAGCATAATATAAAATAACCATCTCACAATACTCTAAAAAATACCTTCAAAACTCGTTTTTCGTTAATTGAATTATCTGCATAATTAACACAAAGTACTGCATATTCTAACCATTGTCGTGTTAAAGCTTGCTTGACAGCATCGTCACCAAGAATAGCAGGATATTTAGAATTTTTCACAAGAGCTTGAACAATTGTACTGAATCCTTCGGTGCTTTGATTTTTTATCAAATCATCCGTGACTATTGTCTGAAAATATAAGACGAATAGTTAATCGTGAGGAATAATATGAACCTAGGTTATTTATCCACTATATTCCGTCTCACTTTAATACCAATAAAATTGGAATTTCATTTGGATAGTAAGAGATTCGATAATTTTCGGGCAAGTGAAATAATAATACGTTTCGTTCTACATTTTTTTTTTTTTTTCGTTACTCAATAATGGGCAATTTCGCAATTACAATTTAAGAACAAACTATAATCGTCATAAATATGCTCTATTGTTGTAAATAAATGCTTCTTGTCAATCGTCCTTGTGACCCTACTACCTCTCTCACCTGCCCTAATTGTATTGAAAGAAAGAAAAGAAAGAAAAAAAAATTAATGGAACATTAATTGATTAATAATATACGCGCGTAATGATAGATTAAAGTAAATTAAAACTGAGATGGGAAAATTGTATATAACCTCGGCCGGACGATAATTAACAATTATTCAAATATCTCGATTTGTAGTCGTATAAAGAATCCTATTATTGTATAACTATTCATAAAGCTCGATCGAGGATTTCCAAACTTTAATTTGAATTTCAATTTTAACGTTTAATATCGTGCCAAGCAACGACGAAGGGGAATCGCGAGTAGTTAGAAACAAATGATTAAATCAAAGCACATAGATTGCTCGTCCCCTTTGCTCCGCAGCTATCATCATTACCAATACCATAAATCGTAGTATGACTTACATTATTTTCGGAAACGTAAAGCTTCCCTGGCGAAACGTCTAAATACTGTGATATTCTTTGTACACACTCTATATTACATAATACCATTTTTGCGGTTGGAAAGAAAATAATAGACTGCGCGATAAGGTGAAGCAGCTCGTCGAGCAAAAGCAGGAGTCGCACAGGATTCGCAGGTTGCTAATTGACGCGCACACCGAGTCTCAATTCGGATGTTTTCTTTCTTCCACACCCTTATAAGAAGGTTATGCGAGACGCGATTGCGTCTGCCCGTAAACACTGCATGTTTGGTAGTGAGTTTAGGCGCCGCCATTTTGGTTTTTGGACGAATCAGCGAGGAGATTTACCCTGACTGTAAAACAGCTGTGCTTCTTTCGTAAACATTTTTGCCGGTTATCGGACAAATAAAAATTGCAAAATTTTTTATTAGTATTATTAGGGTGGAGGGGGGGGGGAGTAAGGAACTCGGCTCGCGGGCTATTGCAATTATCCTTATTATTGTTAACGAGATGAGAAATGAGTAGTAGTCGCTCGAGTTGAGTCAAGAGGTTAGTAAAGTCGGTTGAAGGAAAATGTGTTCGCTACGAAGATTTTCATTTTCCATGTGGAAAAGGTTTATTCATTATCGAGCGCAGCCCGAGCACAAATTCGAATGGATACGGCCTACTGGACATAAAACAAATATTCTTGTATATAATCCTATAACAAGGGTCAAAACACCCCTGATCTTAAGAAACCATAATGTTATTACGTGGTACATGTGTGGACCAACTGTCTATGATACATCTCACATTGGTCACGCCTGGTATTTGCACGTGCACTTGTAATATGCTTTGAGCAACAAAAAAATTCATTTGCTTTATTATGTTTTAGTACATATGTGAGATTTGATATTATTCGGAGAATATTGTCGGAAGTTTTCAACTACAATGTTGTATATGTAATGGGAATGACGGATATCGATGACAAAATAATTAATAAATCAAACGAATGTGGTGAAAGCTGCCAAAGTATTACGCATCGTTATGAGAATGAATTTTTTGCAGATATGGATTCTTTGAATGTTTTGAGACCGTTGGTAACATGTAAGGTGACCAATTATATCTCAGAAATTGTAGCGTTTATAGAACAGATTTTCAGTAAAAATGGAGCTTATGTAGGAAAAGATGGTGGGGATGTGATTAAGTTATATTAAATTATAAAGGGCTACGTTTAACAAAAAATCTGTTTATAATGTTCGCTAGGTTCTGTATATTTTGATACCTGTAAATATTTGAATTATGGAAAATTGAAACCTCCGCAAGTAGAGGGATTTGATGCTAATAAAAAATCGCCTTTGGATTTTGCATTGTGGAAAATATCAAAGCAAAATGAGCCATTTTGGGAAAGTCCTTGGGGTCGAGGTAGACCAGGTTGGCACATCGAATGTAGCGCTATAGCTAGGTAATCATGTATTTAATAACGATCTGAATGCCTATGTAGATTTAAATATTAAAATGTTTATATCGCTCTTTGTTTTTAATTATTTTTCAAAAACGAAAATTTAAGGATTTTATGTTTTTATTTATAAGCACAATATTAGGTGATAATATTGACATACATAGCGGAGGAATAGATTTATCGTTTCCGCATCATGAGAACGAAGAGGCCCAATCCTGCTGTTATCACGATGTCGATCAGTGGGTTAATTATTGGTTACACACGGGCCATTTGCATTTAGAAGGGGACACAAAAATGTCAAAAAGTTTACAAAATACCATAAGCATATCTAGCTTATTAAATATTTGTACAGCCAATCAGTTTAGAATGTTATGTCTGCTCAGCGATTATAAAAAAAGTAATATTTTCAATGAAAACAATTTATCGAATAATCTATTTAATAAAATATGATACACACAACGTTACATACAACTACTTTATTTTTAGATGTTGTATTCTCGAATGACTTAGTCGAAAAAGCAAGTACAATTCTGAAAAAAATTGAATTTTTTCTATGCGATTGTAAAGCCTATTATTCAGGAAAATATGAAATGTGGGATATAGATGCATCGAAGTTACTTAGCGTAAGATATTTAATGTAAATTAAATACAGCGCTTACAATGATAATAGTCATTTTAAATTTTCAATTTGTATAGTGTCTGGATGAGACTAAAGCGCAAATCAATGCTGCATTTGCAAATGATTTTAATACACCAAAAGTTATAGCAGAAATTTTAATATTAATTTCAACTGCAAATAAAATGATGAAATCAGAAAAGGTTTAAGAATATTCGTTTATAACGAACTTTTGCTTTTGAAATTGAATTTTATCATTACTTTTAGACAACAACCGCAGCAAGGAGTATTGAAACTGTTGCCGCAGTATCAAATTATATACAATCTATTTTTGCAAAATTAGGCATATCTTATTTGAAAACCTCCGATATGAATAATAATATTTCTAACATATTAGACACTTTAGTGGAATTCAGACGTAATGTTAGAAATAAATCTTTAATGGCAAATACAAAGGATATTGAATTATTGAAGCTCTGCGACGATGTTAGAACAAAATTAACTAGTTGCGGCGTTGAAATAAGGGTAAAAGATTTCATTTTGTATTTATTTTTTCTTCTTTTAATCAAATTTACAAGCATAATAGCTATAATAGATAGATTATCATTTCTTTGAGATAATATACCGATATTTGCAGGGCAATAGAATCTTTAATTTGATTTTCATCTTTGGTCAGAATTAAAAAAATTAAATGCAAATTTCTCATTATTTATGTTTTTTAAATTTTTTCTTTATATATTTTACTTTAATAAAATGAAAGAGATAGGGATTACCTATTTACTGTAAATAAAGTATATTTTCTCTATTAACTGTTTTATTTTGTATTAACATTTGATTTTTGAACAATATTAATATATTTATTTTAGGACCATCGTCAAGAATCCTCTTGGATATTAAAAGAAAAATAAAAAATTATTTTCCACGTTATATTGGATATAAAATTTATTGTCTATTATATAAAATATATATATATTCAACTAATAATTTAAATATTATTTTCATCCGTATTAACTTTAATTTTCTTAGCATTATCTTCTTCTGTAATTACTTGTTTTCGTTTCCTTTCGGACTTTCTTTCCGTTAATGTTTTACGCAATCCTTTCATTTTCCTTGTTTGTATCGTATTCAATTTTTGGGTGCCTACGTGTACTCTTCCTAAAGTTTTTCCTAAGTTATCTTCACTGATGTTCTTTTTCTTTTTGACCTTAAATATTTGTATAATTAGTATGGCGTATTTAATTAAAAATAAAAAAATGTATAATACTTTACTCAATAAATCATTTAAATATTACCTTCAATTCTTTTGGCTTTTTGCAAGCTTGTTTAAATAGATCATCCGTAGCGAGTTTTGTCCTTCTAATTCTTAAATTCATACGTGGTCCTATTTCTGCTAATTCAATTCTTGGTACTCGAGTACCTGACTTTTTTAACAGTACTCTAAAATAAAATTTATTATAATGTAAAATTCTTATATTTGACGTTTGAAAAATTGAAACTTATGTAATGGTACAAACTTATAACTTCGGAAAAGAATACAATTATCGTTAGCTGTAAAACTTAATACATGTTCCAATCCTTGCAACCTAATTTGCTTAACTGTTTCTCGTTGAAACATATCGATCAATAAATTCTTAATTCTTCTATATTCGTGATTACTTTCAAATAATTCTCCCTGAAACACTAACATAGGTTTAATGTCACTGGAAATTTTTTCTAATTTAAAATTTGTTAGACATTTATAGTCCTCAACACCAAATTCTACTATATCCATTATAGTATGTTCAAACAATCGACCTATTATGAGATTGTTAGGTCGTTTTTTATTATTGTTTATTAGAACAAACAACGAAGCATTAAACTTTCTACCAAAATTTTCAAGTGGTGTCGGATCTTCAAACGGACGTATATCGTTTCTCCTTTGTAATATTTGCCCATATGGTTTCTTTAAAATATACTACAAACATAAAAATGCAAATTTGTATAAATGAGAATAAAATAAAATTTACTTTACGAAAGAAGGCGTAACATTCATTTACCAAATTTTTCATGCAACTTTGCAAGACTTCTGTTGTTTTAAGACCTTTTATGAAGAACGTTTGTTTAGCATTTTCAATTATTTTAGGTTCTCTTTTTAAAATAGCTTGTTTTCCTTTATGTGTTTTGGGCTTTCTGAAAATTATTAAATCTGTGTGCAATATCTTTACTAACATAGAGGTTAGAATCAGTAGAAAAAAATATTTATACATACATAATTCGTTCAATTACAGGCATTTTTTATTCACCGCTTTTATTAAAAGCAGCCGGCAACTAGATAACTAAAACTATTAACTATTTTAACAATTCAACGTTCGTTACAAGTTTCGTTTGTTTATAAATGTTCTATAAACAGTAGTTATTAAAGTAAAATCACAATGCCGCACTTTCCCACGTGGTGTGTACATTCTGGTAAATAAAAAAATAGCAATGGGGACGTTAAGATAGATGCAAAAAAAAAAAAGATGGAATATTTGCAATCAATGGGAAATGCGTATATTATGTAACTGACTTTTTGTCTATTTTATTTTCTTTTTTTATTCTTAACAAAATCGTAATGCCAATATTTACTACCTAATATTCCTATACAGTGAAAATTAAACTTTAAAATATTTTTAATCCTAAAATATAAGATATCAAAATTAAAAAATAATAAAAATGTTCGATACCATATTTTTAAATTAATTTATACGAGGCTTTTCCAATTTTTAAAGTACAGTATTCACTTCTTTGTGATTTTAACAAGATATTGTGATATAACAATTATTTCTAAGCAAACTTTTCCGTACTCTTTTACTTCTTACACGCGGAGCTTTATTGATGATATCCTGAAATTATGGGAAACGGGTTATGCATAATAATTATGCGTTTTATCGAATAAATGTATTTTAAGACATATATAATCATTGTAATATATTGAATTTTTAAATTTGATTAAGAAAGTCGTAATATAGAAATTCAAAAAGTAATCTTAAACGTGAAAATGGCTATCATTTCATATTTCTAACTATGTTTAATAAAAACTTTATTTCAGTTAATATTATGTATTGGATTATCTTGGAAAACCGATATTCCACAAGTTATTCGTAATACATTTTTTTTTAATCGAGCATTGATCGATCATTCTGCCAGAATGTCATATTTAAATGCCGTGATTTTTATAGCAAAAGTATTGCCTAAAATTTCGTAAATATGTTCAAAATTTGAAAATGACCCATTACTTTTGCCAATTGGAAAGTAGAAAGTTGCCAAAAATCCACTGTAACGGTGAATATTATTCATATTCGGTATAAAGATATATCGATTAAATTGAAGACAAACTTATTGCGGCCACTGTATGTGCATAGTTCCGCTATACAAGAATAGAAGCGACAAATAGCAAATTATTGTATAAAATGCACTAATAATGTACACTTCGGAGTTGAATTTTTGTTTCTTCTCCTTTAAGGCCTGCAGCCTTACACTTTCGTAGAATAACAATTGCTCGGATAAAATTTATCACATATTCAACGTTCTGCTTAATGTTAATGCTCATTTGCCCATGATATTGTCATAAAGTGCAACTAGATATTATGGAATATTTTATTAATAATGCTTAGTCGTAAGCTCGAATGAATCGATAATGTTATAGTTTATTAATTAGTATTAAATTAATTAATATTGCTAGCTTAAAAATATTGTTACTCGTGGGATAATAAAAGACGGATATTATTAACGTTAAATAATGAAACAAATTATTGATTAGTTATAAACTCAATATCTTTCTTTTTCTAATATATACATAGATAAACAAGATCGTATTATACTACACATAAAACTCTGCAATTCGTTGATTTTATGTATATCGATAGCATTTCAATACAAATAAAATATTAGGAAATATTTTCTTATATATACTGTTTTTCAAATCACAATTTCTTTATTCTTCGCATTAAAATTTATAATTGAAAATTATTAGTCCATGAAAGATTGGCCAAATCTAAGGAAATTTACGGTAACAGTAGGTTTTCCAATTTATCCTATTCAATGGGGATTATTGTCTTGTTTCTAATAATCAGTATTTCTTGAAAATAAAATTAACGTGCACCTTAATGAGATATTGTGCACTAAACAACCTGGCATTTAATGGGTAATGAAAAAAATTAATATATAAATTACTTTATTTTATCAATAATTTCTACAATAATATCTGTAGATTTTTTTAGATATTAATAATATTATAGATATTAATAATATTTAAAAATTAAAATTTTAGTAGTATGCCTTTTTTTTTTCTTTTATATATATTCTAATTATCAACTTTTGACAATTGGTTTAATGAAATTAAATGTAATTACAGATTCTAACCGAAAAGTATATTCATTATTTTACAATTGAATAAATAAACGCAATAGCGCGTAATGCATTCATTAAAAACATTTTCTTTTAATTTACTGTGAAATTTGCTTTAATTCAATGATGGTTGTTGAAAATTTATCGAAATTTGTTATTCGTTTGAAAAAGTAGTTTTCGGCCTTGACTTAGATAAATATATTAACAGTATATTACTTGTTACAAAAGTAAATGGTGAAACGTTTTATGATACAATATCAAAAAGCGATCAAAAGATAATTTTTACTCATAAAAATTGAGATATTAATCAAAATATAAACACAATACTTTTTATTCGTAATCTCTTTTGTCGCTTACAATTACGAATGATATACGAGTGAAATAAGTATTTGTTTATTATGAATTTGAAAAAATCTCAAAGCTGAATTCTAACATTATTCTCTTAATAAATTTTGTGCATTATTTTTCCCATCGACGATAAGTAACGCGAAGCTTCTCTTATAAAATAAAATATTAATCGGAGATTGTTTATTATGTATATGGTAAATTTACATTTATAATAAATGTTCTTATAAGTCAGTTATACATAATAGCGACTAACCGGTAAATTGACCGACCACTTATTTCATTTGCTACACTCGCGAATCTTGTTTGTTCATTTAAGACGATTAGCCTATCGTAGCTCGTGTAAATCTTTGATTTGTGCACTATATCAATGCGTAAGATTCTCTTGATCGAGAAAATTATTTTATCTACTTAACTCTTTATTTAACGACTTACAGCAAAAATTAAAAAATGTTTCCCATTATCATAGTAAAAAAAGATAAAAATTATCCTTTTTTTGTGTAAAATGAATTGTTTGTAATAGCATATTTAAGTGAACTTTGTATAATAAATTTATTTTATAAATTTTTTCATTGTTATTTTTATAATATAGTAAAGGATTTACATATTAGTATATTGTTATACGATTTATATTATAATGATAATTCGTTTTCGTCTAATACGATACGATTATATTTTTGTAAATTTACTCTTTATATTTTCACAAATATAAATAACAAATACGTGCACGTGTGTTGAAACAGGAATTTAATAACACTAAGCTCCATTTTTCTATGTAGGTAGTGCAATCTTAAACGTTTTCTAAAATATATTTGGATTATAATTCAATGTTTACTTTAGATACTGCTATAGACAATCTATACCAATGATATATTTTATAGATATAAATTAGGTAAAACGATAATTTTAGAGATGAAAAAAATATATTAAACTTCTAGATTAAACAGAGGTTATTTCTAAATGTGAATAAATATAAAGTAATTCATTTTTTCAATAATTATAGTATTTAATTTAATTAAAAGACTTATTGCATAGCTAACAGGAGGTTCTTTTTTTCGACATGAGAAATAAAAAAATAGCAGTTTGGATGGGAATATTATTAGAATCGATGTTTATTTACGAGGTAATCATTGACGAATTTTAAATAGAGCTCCCTTTACATTTTTTTTTGTTTTTTTTTTGTTTTTTTGTTTAATTTAAAATATGAATGCATCTAGATATAAGAAATTATCATTGAAAATGTCCCTGTAATTCTGAAAAAGACAATATAATTAATATTTATCTCAGTTTGAAACGAAACAAAAGATATTTATTTTTTAGCTTTATAAACTTGTTGATTGATTGTTAATTTATACGAGCATTATATTCAGTAATAAAAATAAAATTCTGTACTTATTTATTTGCTTTATTTATAAAAGAATTGAAAATTTGCAAGTCATTTTATATTTCCATTCGATTCTTCTTTACTCATCCATTATGAAATAGTTGAATTTTTTATCATTACAAATGCTATTTTTATTTAAGATGTATAAAATAAACGTAATTGTAATTCCTGATAAATCTATTGTATCGTCGATTAGAGCATTAAATGGACTATCAATGCTTTGGTTAATAGGGATATAAATAATTACTATCTATCGTTACTTAAAGCCATTGTTTAATTTAAGATTTCATATTTTTACATAATTTAAGCTTCGCTACATAAATTTCTAAAAGTTCATCCATTTAACATACAAATTACGTACTATTTAAAAGTACAAATTACAAAAAAAAATGCAACTTGCAGTTGCATAACGTAGAATGATGTTTTACAATTGACTTTAAAATTTACTATGAATATAATTTTACATAAACAATTAAATCACTATTAATATGAATACTAAGAATTCTTGTTACTTAATTATATCAATAGAAGTTGTATGTTTGGTCAATATTAAAGTATTTATGTAATTAAAATACTTTGCAGTTGTCCCTATTGTAAGTAAATAATTCGAATAAATGCTTAATGTCGATTATAGTTTCGTTAAAATAATTAATTCGTCGTGTGATTGTTAACAATTTAAATACAATAAGAATATCTTTTGACTAACATATATAACAATATCGGAGATGGATATTGGTAAGAAATTTTTGACAAATTAAGGATTCATTAGTCGCCTACTCTCGAGGAATATTTTTAAAACATATATATATATATATTTTTTTTTTAATCGACATATTATTTATCAAGATATTACTAGGTGGTATAATTATCTTGAATAACGATAAAAAATTATGCAAATTATTAAAATCAGTAATAGAGATAAAATTTACATTAATAAATAAACTGTTTGTTAATATAAAGTTAAGCCAAATTGCATAACTTTATTGAAAAATACATTTTGCATTCACGTTGAAAATTAATTTTTTTCTTTGTAAAAGTTGCAACCGATAAAATATACATGTAACATATGTAAAATATGTATTATCGGGATTGATTCATTCATCTCTTTGCTTTCATCAAAATAAGAGATTTTGGTATGAAACACGGAATGAAAAAATATGACCATAGTAATTAGTTTCAAAGAATGTCGAGAGTATAATAAGCAAAAATGACTACGAGCTTCAATAATAAAAATGCAAATTAGTAGAAATATGCTTTGAAAAATGCTGAAGTGCTGTAATACTTTGCTCGATGCTGTAAAATGATATATGTTTCGAGCTTGAAGGAAAAGCGGCCGCGAACGAGCGACAATTTTTTACATATTAAAATATTTTTATTAACATGCCTACTCGAAATCTAAAATTCAAAATAATAAAACTAACATTTATATTTACGTGGATGAATGATAATGCAAGCAATTTCTTGATTGCAAGCGAACGATAGCGTATTAAAGCGAAAATTAAAAGGAAACGAAGATAGAAAAAAATTAACACGATCAAGTTGAAAGGAAAATTGTAAATTTATTTTCGTAATAAATAATAGTTTAAATGACAAGTGTTGTTGTAAAATTTGTAAGGAGAGCGTTGCGTATGTATGGACGTAAAGGAATTATTAATTCGAGTTGACACGTTAATGCACGCGTGAAGCACAGTTTTAAGATACAAAAAGTGTTGAAATTTCATGACGGAATAACATTTTTATCCAAAATTACTTGCATGTGAATTTAATCGACTACGATCGTACCATTTCACGCATGAAAAAAAAAAAAAAAAAAAAAAAAAAAAAAAAAAAAATTAAACAGCTGAATAATAAACAAGCGCTGAATCGCGCGACTTTAAATTTCTTTTTAAAATTAGTTGTAAATTAACATGAAAGTGAAGCCTCGTCTGTGCTTCCTTTCAATTCTAGTGTTCGTTAAATTATTCGGCACAATAAGCATCGTGACAATTTTTTCATTATTACGTCGCGTAAGTCTAGCGTGCGTAAAATGTCATTTCCCGCCATTGTGACGTAATTCTTATAAAAATTAGATAATCGAGATGCGTCCATGCACGCGACTATTGTAATCGGGATGTCACGCCATCATCGGTGCATCTGTAAATGTCGTTAGGAAGTCGAGAGCGAGTGTTTGCATTTGTCAGGAGGGAAGACAGACACGGGAGGGTTGATAAATCATCATCGTCGAACTGTCTATAAAATAGGATGAAAATTTTTCTATCGATCGCCAGTAGGGTCGAGTCGTGCCTCGATATGCTGCACGGTTCGATGCAAGGGGTACACAAAAACAAACAAAAAAACAAAAACAAAAAAAAAACAAAAAGAATAAAAGAGAAACAAAAAAGCATATATATAAAGAAAGTTGTCGACATAATCTACGGACTATGGAATGTGCGATCGAACGCGAGAAAAGTAGTCAACCTGCCGAAAAGATACGGCCCACAACGGATTAAAGCCGATTACATGTTGGGTTGGGAGGGTGGGGAAGGGGGATGGGACCTCGCGTGTCACGACGAGCTACGATGAGCTACGACGAGGACGGCTAGTGTGTAATTCGTTCCGCCACGTCAGACTTCTCCAAGGTCCGATAACACGTGGGTAAATCGATGTCCCGCGCCGCGATATATTATCCTATTTATTATCCGCACCTTCGACGCTATGCAAGTCGCCCAAGCAAAGACGAACTCTATCCTACGGACAAACTCAATTCGAAAGTCGAGCGTACGGGGGAGGGGGGCTGGAGCGGGGCGGGCGAATGGGGAGCAGTAGTCGGTCGTGTCCAGGAACGCTGCTAAATAACAGCGAGCATTCGAAATATTTGCACGAAAGGCGAGATATTGCCAGGGATTGTGACCTTGGGAGGAAATGGAGCCGCATTTGCATCTTAATTTTTCAATTTATCTCTTACCTTTGTCATTGTCGTCGAGCGGCAAAAACCGGCATCATCGTACGCTCTACTCTACTCACTTGCTCAATCTCTCACTCATTCTCTGTTCTCTCTCTCTCTCTCTCTCTCTCAATCTTTCTCTCTCAATCTCTCGATAATCCAACGATTCGAAAGAGCCGAGGGATAATTATCGAATCGGTAATGAACAATAAGAAGCCACCGCCGCTTCACCGCTCTGTTTAATCTACACTTAGGTAAACGCGACTATCAGCCTGGCTAACGTAATAATTATTTGTTAATTTTTTATGAAACCGATAATGCAAAGGCAAGATGATGCAACGATCGTTAACGTTAGTAGACATAGTGGACGGACAGACATCGATCGCCACTTGTCGTTCGTCTATGCACGCATAGTGAGTGCTCTACATACATAAGCCCAACTACTAAATGGTCCAATCGCATTATTTATTAATAATTAAAGGCTGCATTTGCGTATTCGGGGAATGTCTTTGTAATGTGCAACGACCGCTCTTTCATTGGCAGAGTGGAAGCTGACGGGGCGAGAAACATTGGCCTCATCCGTCATCATAGAACGAGACGAGAGACGGTGGCCGTATCGTTCGTTCCTCTCTCTCTCTCTCTCTCTCTCTCTCTCTCTCTCTCTTAACGAAAAGAAGAGGGCCCTAAGCAGTGGAGTCTCTTTAAGGCGACCTTCGTTGTCATCGAAGGACGTGGCTGGAGGACGGTCGGTGGTTGGGGCGCGCTCGGGGCGACTTTGACGAATCGGGCCGTTCATCGCTTTATCGATCGTAGTTCGTCGCGTTGCTTGCGCGACACGGATCCGATCGTCCGATTCCCTCTCCTCCACGGCCAGCCAACGGCGGAGCGGCGACACGCGTGCCCGAGTCGTGATTTCGCCTCGAGGCGGCGCCCGACGTCGCACTGCGCCGGCAAGAACTGCGGCCGTACGGCTACGGCTGCGGTTGCGGCTACGGTTCCGGCTGCGGCTGCGGATGCGGCGGCCAGTGCCAGTGGGGCCAGCCGTTAGTGGGGATCGGCACGAGGCCGGTGAATTATCGAGCGAGTTCTCGTGTCTCTTTGGTTAATGGTCGGTGATTGGCGGCGTCGGCCAGTGGGACGAGAGCGCCAGGTCGAAAGTCAGGTTCCTTGGTCAGGTACGATCGGGACGCGGATCGAGGCCATGGCGACGACGTCGAGGAGAACATGCGTGGGCACGACCCTGACCGAGATCAGCGAGACGGAGCAGCGGATTCAGGCCAACGGCATAACCTCGCGACTCGGTTGTCGAGTCAATAACAACGGCTACGCCAAGGCACACCCAGCCAACGGACATCCGAGGGTGAGTTACGCTTGGTTTGGCTCGGTAACGTTCGGTTCGGTTCGGCTCGATATTTGTCAGTTTCTCTCTCTCTCTCTCTCTCTCTCTCTCTCTCTCTCTCTCGTCCATCCACTTGCTTCCTCCTTCTCCTTTGCAATTAGATGCATACACCTTATGGTTAACGCGGACTATTGTCGCACACGATCATCATGCGCTCCTTTCTTCCTTCCTTCTTATATTGTCTTCAATTTATTTTTATCGATCCCCCCCTCCCCCCTCCTATCCCGAATATCTCACTCTCACATGCCTTTTCACATTTCATCGATCTCTCTTATTCAATCGAATTAATTCTTTTTTATACGCTTTTTACCGGTTAACAGTTTGTCACTCATCGCCTTTCATATGCATTAATTAATTTATTTATTTATTCATTTGTTCGTTTATTCGTTCATTCATTCATTCATTCGTTCATTCATTCGTTTACGTTTTAGCGGGTGCGGTGAGCGTAAAGTAGTATAATCGAGGTGTCCAACGCGTTTAGCCACATGGCTCTGAACACTTAGCTCTGTAGCTGCGAAAGAGAAATTTTCAAATATCGAATGATAGTGTACGAGAAGCGTGAGACTTAAGTAAATTAGTATTTCATTAAAAAAATTAAAAAAAAAAAACGCATCGACGAGGTTTTTACGTATATGTGTGATGTGATGTGCCGTGCACTGTCGTATAAATTTAAAAGCGGCTTCTGTCCCCTCTATCTGTGCAGCCACGCTTTCTCTCCTCTCTCTCTCTCTCTCTCTCTCTGTCTCGTCGTACGTAAATAGTATTATATCGTTTGAAAAGCCCGTCTATTAAATGCCCTTTTATAAGAATTTATTTAATTTATTCGAGTAATGCTCTTTCGATGCTGTTATACTGTAACAAGTTTTAGCGAATTATGTCGAATGTTCGATAAATCGTGACCGCTAAAATATTGTTTACTATTAAAAGCGATTTTATAATTGAAAATGGAATAATAGTAATGCGCTTTGTGAACAATGAGACCGGGGGCGGCGGCACTATTACCTTGCCGGCAAGCAATATTATTCGCTTTTATTTCCTTGCTTGAGATTAAAGAAAACCATGTTATCATATTGTTATACATTTTGTTACATTTTACCTCGGACAATTCCATTTTTCCATTTGCAGTCATTCCATCACTCCATGTAATCGACATTATACAATCGGCATTAATACAATCGACTTATATAATCCCAGATTATATTAATGTTTAAGTTAATGATGCTGCGTCTTTGTTTACAGCCTTGTCCCTTGAGAGGTTATATCGTTTGCTATACTTTATAATATTGTGATCTTATGTTTTATATTCAGTTTATACGTGAAAGTAAAGATGAGAAGGAAAATCGAACGTATCCGATCAAATTGTCAAAGTACAACGAGTCATTTGAAAAAGTGCCATTTATCACTGCTGCTCTTACTCACTTTGGCTTCTATATTCTCATGTTCTTGGGATTTATAAATCAACTGCTTTTTACGCCAAATGTTGCTAAAGAGCGAAAAAGAAAGGTGTGTAAATTATTTAATAATCTAGTGCATGAATTATAGAAAGTTTATGTTGCAGGGATATGCTCCTCTTTATGAAAACTTTGAACAATTCTATTTACGATATGTCTATAGAAGAGTGAGAGATTGTTGGAATCGTCCAATTTGTTCGGTACCTGGTGCAACAGTCGTGCTTAAAGATCGCACGACCAATGATTATGGCTGGACGTTCGAGTAGATATTACTTTCATACCATAATGTTTCTACTCTTCCTCGATGCTTTAAAATCTCGTTTACCAATAATTGTTATTTATACTTTCATCATCAATTGTTCGTTTCTGTATTTTTCTTCTTTGTTTTGTTTTTTATTTATTTATTTAATTTTTTTCATAATACTATTACCCATAAAGTGCTTAAAAAATAATGAATAATTCTTAAATCATGGCTAGGATTTGTCTTGTAAAGATTTTAACAATTTAAAGATATGTCATTTAGAAAATTCATACTACAAGGTAATAATATTCTGTATACGAGACATTTGGCTACAATTAAATAATTCTTTGCGACAGATTTACCGGCACCGAAACCAAATGCATAAATCTCGGCTCCTATAACTATCTGGGATTTGCAGAATCAACCGGACCCTGCGCAGAGGAAAGTATCCGCACTTTAAAGAAATTTGGATGTTCTAGTTGCAGCAGTAGACTGGAATTAGGTAAACGATGAATAACGATAATAGCTGCCATTGGATAGAGTTATATCAAATGTAATATTATGAATTTCAGGTAGTATGCCTATACACAATGAATTGGAACAGCTGACAGCTCGATTTTTAGGCGTTGAGGATGCCATAGTTTTTGGAATGGGCTTTGCCACAAATACTTTAAACTTACCATCGCTAGTATCAGCAGGCAGTCTTGTTCTAAGCGACGAGAAGAATCATGCATCAGTTATTCTAGGATTACGACTCTCGGGCGCGATTATTAGAGTTTTTAAACATAACAGTAAATGCAAATTTTCTTGGACTACTTATACTTAATGGTCGACTAAAAATAAAGAAATTGTACAAATATATTCCAGATGTTAAGCATTTGGAAGATTGCTTGAAGAAAGCTATTTTATTAGGTCAGCAAAATACGGGCGAACCTTGGAAGAAAATTATCATTGTTGTCGAGGGAATCTATTCAATGGAGGGATCTATAGTTCATCTTCCAGAAATACTTAAACTGAAAAAAAAATATAAGGCAATATATCGATTGTGAAAATTTTGTCATTAAGCGCGATGCCAGGGCACATCATGACACATTGCTATATAAATATTCTCATCCGTAGGCATATCTTTATTTAGACGAAGCACACAGTACAGGGGCAATTGGAAAGCGTGGCCGAGGAATATGTGATTATTACGATGTCGATCCACGAGAAGTCGACATTCTAATGGGCACGTTCACTAAAAGTTTTGGTTCAGCCGGTGGCTACATCGCTGGCACTAAGGTAGCAAATATTTTAAGAAACAAACATAAGAATACCGCTGTTCACTTATTTAATTCTGCATTTCTTCAGACACTGATCAATTATTTGCGAGTACACAGCCATGCACACTCATACGCAATGTCAATGTCACCTCCCATAGCCCAGCAAATTATTACATCGATGAAAATAATCGCCGGCGAGGATGGCACCGATGCCGGTAAAAAACGAACGAAACAGTTGGCGAGAAATACCAGGTATTTTAGGCGCAAACTAAATCAAATCGGTGTAATTACTTATGGAAATGAAAATTCACCCGTCGTGCCGATGCTCGTGTATCTCTTCTCAAAAATTGGGTAACCCATAAGCACGTGAGATATTAACAAGTCATTTCTCTTCTTTTAGTGAAATATCTTTTTTTTTTCTCTCTCTCTTTCTTATTACAGTTCCGTAGTGAGAACTCTAACGACACGTAATATAGCTACAGTTGGTGTTGGTTTCCCAGCAACGCCACTTATGGAAGGGAGAATAAGATTTTGCCTATCAGCCGCGCACACCAAAGAGCAACTTGACTATGTACGTTCAATTGGTATATCTATGATGATTATTGTCGTTGTGTAATATTGGTAAAGAAATCGCGAACAAAATGATTTCTAACTGGCACGAGAGGATAATAATCACGTGTCACGGACAATCACATACCCTTCATTGTTACTATTACGTTGTCATTTTCTTCGCAATCACTTTAAGCCGTTTATTCGCTTTTCTAGGTATTAAAAAACATCGAAGATATCTCAGGCACTCTTGGATTAAAATACTCAAACAAGCCGCGCGATCCTAATCCAATAGAGTATTATTCAGATAGTGAAACGGAATGACCTACCTCATAGCATAATAAGGCCAATACATACGATTGAATTTGTCGCGTTAAGGGCGGCGGTAAGGCGAGAAGAAGTTTCCAAATGGTTTTTTGAAGCATATCCACGATTCGCTTATAGCCGTCAGATACTGGATTGACATGTCATTTTACTCGAGCTTTTCAGTCTCCAAAGTCAGGGTAAAACGATTCAAGAGCGATGTAAAATAATGAAAATAATAATAGATGGTATAATTATGTATAAGAACAATGACGAATAGACCAAATATGTACTGAGTTAATTTGCGGCTTAGCAAAAAATTGGTCGGTCTTGAGATTTGATAATATTTATATCAATCGATACATCCTTCGATATGTATATTAGCAAATCTTTGGATAAACAATGAATAATAGTACATTCATTAAAACTTGTAAATTATGATTGACGCTGCCTTAAAATACTGCATCCTCGTTATGCGGTATATATAATTTAGCTTAGCATTTGAATAATTTATGAGCTTCTATAAATAATTTTTCCAAATATTCTCTAATTTGAAATCAGTAAACAATGTTATTGCTACATAGATTTATGCGATTCAAATGTTTCTGTTTATGTTGTAGAATTTTGTTTTTTTTATGTTTATTAAGCGAGACTTTAAAAACTTATCTACTTTTAATAGAAATGAAATACATCTTATATTTCTATAAATTATATATGCACACATACAATACACTCACATACACACACACACACACACACACACACACAACAAACAAACAAACAAACAAACAAACAAACAAACACAGAAACAGACAAAAAGAGCAAAGAAAACTCAAGTATTTGTAAAAATTGTTAATCAACATTAGTTATTAAATATATTATTGAATAACTAACAATTACTTATTTCAAATTCTTGAGTTTGCATTTGACAGCAATTCACTTACAATACTATATAAAAATAAAATTATTTTTTAAGATTCTTAATCTTGATTTAGATCTTTATTCTATTTAATTAATACAAGGTGACATAAACGATAGGCATGAAATATATAGGGTATCTATTTTAAAATATAGTTTAAACTTTTTAAATTGCCATAGCACTTATTTTTATAAATCGCTAAATTATTTATGTTAACCATTATATGCTTAATATTGTTTTTTATATTATGTATTTAAACTATAAAACATCTGTTATCTTACTTATAACAAACAAATAATTGATACATATATTATAATTTTATATTTGTATATTTCATATTTCAAGCACGTACAAAAATATAAATGGAATATTTTTCATACACATAAGTCTTGACAATGCCTTGGCTACTAATGCCCATATCGTAAGCATATCTTTTGAATGTGATTTCACTTTATACACGCATACATTCCCAACGTGATCACGACTTTATTTTTGTAATAAATATTGGAATAAAATTGTTGCGCAAAATAAATTAGCATCGAACGGCGTAATGGCTTTGACCTAGTTTGAATCTTTTTCACAAGCCTTCAAAATGAAGCGTGTCTTAGGAGAGTTTGTATTCTGTTCAAGATAATGCTGTTTAAACAAATACAATTATCAGGTCCAAAAGGTGGTCTTATTTCCAGTGTATCTTTAATATATAAATTACCTTTATCTTCTGAGACAGGAAAATGATTTTCTAATAATAATTTAACTACCGAATACTTTCTTTTCATCAGTTCCTGTTCCGGCATATGTATTTCTGGCGCAACAAACATTTCTGGTAATAAAAATTCATTATCAAAAGAACATTCAAATTTTTTAATCGCTCCTCTCATTATGATTTTTAATTGCATCTTTTCCTCTCCTTCTTTAGGTTGCATTAATACAATACTAAATTAAATAAAATAATCGATGAATGACGTATTAATGAATAATTTTTAATAATATTTTTTTAATGTTCGTAACAGACGCTCATATTATAAAAGATTTACGTTATATATTGTAAGTATGAAGAAAATGAAATCCTAACCTCTCCGAAACTGGATCAATCGTATATACAAAGCCAATGTGTACATTGGAATCTTCGGTTGTGATTGTTACTTTTTTGTTTACATAACTTTTGTATAGAATTGGATCGCTTGTGTAAATTTTGTGCAAAATGCTGGTTGAATCGTTACTTACTTCCGAAGACATGATTAACGGCCTGGTTATGTCAATATAATCGACTGCATTTACTAATTGAAATCAATTGTTTATTGAAATGAAGAAAAACCGTTTAAAAATATCACTCACTGACTAATATGACTTTCAAAACTTTATTTTTTAATTCAATTCTACGATCGTCTCAATTTAAAATTACCAAGCCACTTTAATTACGTCGTAGTACCAGCGCCATACAGTTCTAAAGCCTCCAACCATAAAGCGTCGTCAGTATTGATATTTTTACTATTTCATATCGGCGAAGATCTATCTGCCCGTCCATGGTAGCTGGTACCATGTGCAAATGGATAGTGATTAGGTCTACGATTCATGCTTTTCCTATTTAATAAAATATATTATATTACATTGTAAACTTTTGAATAATCTACTCAACGCCCTACCAGTGCATATGTATTAAAATAATTATTGACTATGAAATAAAAAAAAAAAAAAAAAAACCAATAATCTATTAATAATATGAAAATTCAGTGGTATTTTATATTTTATTAGTAAGTATTATTAAACTCATTACATTGCCGTTATAATGAATAACTGATTGAACGAATTTTTAACTTAAGCCATCCATTCGCCCAGTCGAACGTGTAATTAAATTAATATAATTAATTACGTTCAAACCACAACTACGTACTCTATCACACGATTTTCGATTTCATTAATCGTCTACTTCGTTTATTTTGTGACTTTTTGAAATCTACTTTCCGACATTGATTTTTTCACTTTTTCATTCTTTCTTCCCTTTTCTTTTATTTATTTATTTTTTTGCAATTTAAAACAATAAATTAATGTTTTTTACGTTAGTATTATTTGAAACTTTTGACACTTTATTCAATGAAGATTTTCGATGATCCAGGTATGCCGTGCATGCATTCGGTGCTGCTGACATTAGCTTTTCTCAAATTATTCTAACGAATTTCTAGTTTAAAACATACTATATAAATTGTGTAATTTATCGCAAACATATTTTGTATTCATTTAAAGCGTGTGAACGAAAATTGTAAAATATATAAAATAATTGATCGAAATAAATAAACGAAACCAAAAAACTTCCAATATATCTGGCATTGAGATACGAATGCAAAGCTACAAAAACTGATTATAGAATAATAATAAATTTTAATGTTTATCTTCAATTTAAAGCAGCAATAAACGAAATGTAAAATTTTCTTATTAAATTTTAATACAATAAATGCTCAGTAATTTATTTTAATTATAATCAATTTATTTATATATCCGGAATATTTTCAGTTGAAATATTAATAATTTCTATGGAATTTCGAACGAATGATGAAATGAAAAAGAATATACGAATAACAAGACGAAAATAATTTTAATTTATACGTTATCGATAATAGTTGTATTGATTTTCAAATAAATACAGCTGCATATCAAAAAGTGACGCACAACCGATATTCAGAGATTTCTCTCTCTCTCTCTTTCTTGTTTTCTTCGATCTTCTTCGAGGACGGCATGTTGGGGTGCTAGAACCGGAGTGTCTTGGGACGCATAGTACATTATTGTAATGGCTCCAAATACTCCAGTTGAGTCACTGATGTCCCCATATATGCGTAGCTCGCAAGATCGTACAAATTACACGTTTGTTCTCTCTCACATTCATTAATCCGTGTGTCATCTGCATTTTTCTTTATATAACATATATATATATATATATATATATATATATATATATATATATATATATATATACACATATATATACATACATACGCACACACGCTCATACCCACCCACACACATACACACAAATATGTATATGCATGTGTGCATATATATACACACGCGCGCGCATACTACATACGCGCAGACAAATATTTATGCATACATTTTATGTTTATGTATACATATACCATACCATATACATATACAAATATTTATGTATATATATGCCTATGTATACGTACATACATCAACATATATATATATATATATATATATATATATATATATATAAATAAATATATGCATTCATTACTTTTTTTTGTTTGTTTGTTGCCTTAGATTTGCTTTCCGTAGGCATGCATAGACTGCTAATAATCAAGTCCCACTCACCACGTAAAATATAATATCCGTAGTAAATACCCTTTTTGAACGATCCATCTTTAAAAAATTTTATGTGCTCATACCTTGTACCCACACTTTAAGCCAGTGTTTGGAAGTACGTTGATTTTATCCTTTTTCTTTTCATGATGTACTCTTCGAAAATGTGAAAGTATTGTTACCTATAATGTTTCTTTATGTAGTACAAATGATGTTCCATTCATACTTTTATTACTTATATATTGGACAGCTGTTTACAAATTTATCATATCACATTTATTTAGCCAAAAAAACAATTTTTTTTATACAATTACCCTATGTAGTCGCAATTCTTTTACGTTTAACGTCTTATACAAGTGAATCGCATTTACAATATCATTTTTCTCTTCACTTTTTATCTTTCGTTCATTTCTCACTCGTACTTATATTCTCTCGCGCTCGTTCATTTTCATGTTCTACATCTCTACGCCTCTTTATCATCGTTTCGTATTAACCGATTAACGAATTGTCTTCAATCTTTTTAGTTGATTTTTTTTTCTTTCTTTTTTGGTACAACTCGCACGTTTTCAAGAGTTCAACGATGACGCGATATCCATTAAGGGTACTTACTTCACGTTATTATTTTCTATGACTTTATAAAAAGGATTCACGTATTTATTTGTAGAAAATATTTCTAGATTCCTGTTTACCTACATACTTCAATCCACTCGATAATGATCATTCGAAATCTCGTTCTATTCATATTCATATTAATATTTAAATTCATATTCTTTCTCTCTCTCGCCCTTTTTATCTTGCGTGCGCTCTCTCGCTCCTTCTTTCCAAAAATCATTTGGATTTCTGTTGCTTTTTTGTCACTTTTGTAATTTTCTTTTCTTTAAGGTAATTTCCTCAAACGCGTACGCCAGCGATGCACATTTGAATTAGAAAATAAATTGACTAAGATACAGACAATATGAAATTTTGAAAAATCAGTTTTCTGATAATTTCTTTTACAAGCGCGCTGTATATCTTGAAGCATTTTATGATTATTTTGTACAAACTAATTAAAATAATTAATTCACAGGTAAATTCATTCTTTTTAGCGGTGCAACTAGCTTATTGTAAACAAAAAAAAACTTGTTATATAAATTTTGACAAATCAACTCGTTTGCGTTTGCTTGAACTAAACAATGAATCGATGTTGAAAATTAAGAAATTTGATTTTTCAAAATTTTATTTTGACTTTCATCAACTTAAAATGCAAAAACAATTACGTATGCTCTTCCTTGAGTGAAGAAGGTATTATACACTTTTTCAAGTAAAAATATAGTTTGAGCGACGTAATGGTCCCAGACTTATGTAAATGAATTCAAGCATTTCAGAAATCATATCGTTTGGCTATTGCTCTCAGGATTTGTGAGTTACATGAATTAAAGAAAGAAAAAAAAATAAATAAAAAAATAAAAAAAAATGAAGAAATGCTTTGATTCTAACAAAATGTATCGTAAAAATTGTATTTGTTTAATGTTGGAGGACTCTAAATAGCATTTTACTATTTTATCAAACATGAGCGTATGGTATTCCTTCAAAACACCAACAGTAATTTGCGATTATGTTTTTTCTTTAATTTACATGGTGCCAATAATTCAAGACTCGCAGTTGATATAAGTAACTGTAATATTAATATTATAATACAACTTCACTCGGTTAAAAACACACATATTCGTCTAGCACATTTATATCGCTTAAAACCCTGCTACGGCGATCCCATTTAATGCACTAGATTTTTTATATTTATCTGGTGTTCTCACTCGCACTTGCACACTCGAGTCATCCTTGGCTTAATACATACTTTCAATGATTGTAATCGTAATTATGAGCAAGAAGAGAAAAGTGCACGTTCAGCTGTCGCACTCGTCACATTTAACTTTAGCATAACAAATTATTATTTTTTCAGTGACAGAAAGTTGAACGTTAGAGCTGCCTTGTGTCATAATTATAGGGACTTGACGAATATTAAGATCAAAAAATTAAATGATATTTCACACACGCAAACACAATGTCTCAATACGTTCGTAAACTCACAGAATAACATTACTAATTTTCATTTTAGTTTATTGTTCGTTTACCACCGCATTCCTTGTTTACTATCATTTCTATGTAAGAAACGTAGTTGTTAGTTCAACTGTAAGCGTACACGAAATAGCATCGCCAAGCAAGGCATTTCACATTTTTACCCACAACAAAAACTTCATTTTCATTTTTAAAATCTTATAACAGATAAACAAACAGTCATCGCGTTTCTTTGTTTTACCCTTTTAACAATGGGCAAATAGTTATATTTTACACTCGTCATTTTTTTTTGTTTCTCGTCTTTTAATTAACGTGTGTCCTGTGTTGTACGTTTGCATATTCGATAGTGGTGGTAGGATTGGTTGCAGGTAAAGAAGAACGATTGTACCTACAGCAGAGCGTCATTTGTTCTGGTGTGCAGAAAACATTGATGGGGTTTTCACGAATTATTCAGTCCTGCATTTCTTCTAGAATTTCATAAGGATTAATAATGCCTGGTACAGACATCTGCAGTCGCCTTTTTTCTTCTTCGGCCATACGTAGGGCACTTTCTCTTTCTTCCAAATACAAATCAGAGTCATCCTCGCCGGTATATTCCTGATGATAATTTATCGATTTGTTAAAAATTCATTCAAAATAAGAAACAAAAATACATTACGAGCCTTATAATTATCTTTCACAAAGATAAAAATTAACTATTTTTTCTATACCTTAGTAATATATTGAGAAAATAATGACAAGAATATTGGAGAAAAAAAAAATTTATTTACAATCTACTCATTGCTAATAGTTTATTTAAATTTCAAGCCACACTTACTCTTATTTGAACAAGAAAATCTCTCAAGTGTTCTTTAAAAGCTGGGATATCTTGATTAAGATTAAAAAGACCTTGAACTGTAATCTTAATTTGATTTTCTGTTAAATGAGGGAAAGCTGCATTTAGCAATCTCGCTACAAATTCTTGAACGTACAAAGTGTTAACTGGTATAGGGCCTAATGATACTTTGATTCTTCCTAATTCAACTAACGTAAACATGTATGCCAAAATAGTTGCATGCATTGTCAGACCTGTTAACAAAAGGAATTAGATGAAATTGGCAATTGGGTATAAAAATAATCGAAAGATAAAAGAGTAAAATGAAGTTTACCAGCTGTATGTGATGTATCTGTAACAACACTAAATATATGTTGAAGAATGTCCGTGAAGTATGTTTGATAGAAGCTTTGGGAAGCTTCTTCATGTTTTTCCATATTTCTAAATAATTGATACAGGATTTGTAATCCAGTATCAGCAACATTCCTCATAGTGTGTTTAAAAGCCCAGATAACAGAGTCAAGAACTAATTTGAATTGAACTGGTTGTATCGAAAGGCATGCAGGGAAACAATGAGCATTCACTGCCTATAATATAATTAATTTATTGCATTAAATAATACATACGTGTATTTAAATGGATCATGTAAATTAATAAGAAGATAATATTAAAGTTTCATCACCTGTAGCAATAGGAAGAAATTTGTTCTATGTTCCGGAAATTCTTCAAAGTCTTTGTTAATCATGTCAAGTGTACATTTAAATACAGCTTCAAAAATTTTGGGCACCTCGCTGGTAATATGACCTTCAAGTTTATTTACTATTATGGCCATTGCACTAAGCACTTCAGGCTCTCTGGCACAAGGAATATTTGTCTTTTGATAATCTAAAAGCACTGCATCCAATAAAGGCGGTATGAAATTATCCAAGACCTGAAGATAAAAAGAAAAAAGTAACCAATTATAATTAACAAAATTAATTTTTCATTTAGATGTGAAAGTACACAAATATACCATTTGATGATCAGTACACCTATCAATCCAATCTGCTATTAATTTAAGTGTTTCCTTTTTAACAACTCTCATACTTTTAATCAATGGTTGCTTCATTACCATTTCCCCGTTCAAAGCTATTGCAGCACTTATATTTTCACTCATTACCTATAGTGACAAAGAAGAAATTTGCATATAATAGAAAACAATTGTAATGTTTACGTAAAATCTTACCTTATACACATTTAACATATCTAAATATATTCTCCCTAGCTGAATCATGTAAGGGTGCCCAAGGGCTTTACACGCTCTAACATTTGTTTTGAGAATGCTAGCAAGTTGTTTCACAGCTTCTTGATCTTTCAGTACCTCGACGTTCTAATAAAACATCAACAGTATTAATATTATATAAATGAATTAAAAGTATTATAATAGTTTTAACATACCTTAGCTGCTTGATTAATAATTTCATCCCAAACTTGGTTAGGTAGAAGCATATATTTTTCTATCAAATGCTCTTGCATTACAGCATCTGTTTGCGTTCCAATCATGTATCCTACTGCTTCATAAAAAGTGTGTACCTATTATATGAAATTTAAAAATAATGACATATTTATTAATTTATAAGTATATCACGTCAAGTAATTTATACAACAAAGAATTTATTATAACAGTTAATAAAATTTTCGTTTAATACGTCCATTGAATAAATCATATATAAATTGATCAATTAATGGACAATTAAACATGAAATTAAAAAAAAAATCAATAACTACCTGTTGCGTCTGAAGATCACAAATAATTGTGCTTATAGTAGATAAAATTTCATCTATAAAAGGCATAGCTTCACCAAGTTGTACAGTCACAAAATGCCGTCTACATTTCAGTGCAATTTTAATAAAAGTGTCACAAGCCATATCTTGCACACCCTCGTGCGTTTCTTAAAAGGAATTTTTTTCATTATAAATACATTTGAAAGTAAGTTTCACATAAAAATAAAAAATATGTACCATAAAAGATACTTACCATGCATAAATTCAAAAAGCTTGTTGACAACCGTTTTCAAGAACTTCCAATGTGCTCTTAAAAATCGCGGATATTGACCAACAACATACATAATGTTACTCGCAATAATAGCTTTATTGTCTTTACCCTTTTTTTGTTCACATAATCCAAGCAAATCTTTAATAACTGTAACTAAAAATCTCTTTTCATCTTCTTCATGCATTGCACCAGAAATACTACCTATAGCCCAGCACAACTGAAATATGTATATTATCATTATTGTTAAAGTACATTATAAGAATCAGGTAAAAAAATTCTTTTCAATATTAGTAATTTAATTTACCGTATTAAGATTTTTCCAAGACCATTCAGAACCATTTACTTGATTTTGTAGTTTTTCAGTCATAACGCGTTCAGTATCAACGCAATCAAGATGAGTCAGATACACTAAAGTTTCCCTCATATTTTTATACAAATTAATTGCATCAGTATCTTTCATAAATTCTCTTACGACTTCACCATTTTCATTTTCAACAACAAGCACCTCCTCTGGTTTGGCCATCCTACTAATCATAATATAACGCACTTTAGTTAGAACTTGAGAGTAAAATACTCTTCGTGGTGGAAGAGTCATATTTTTATTTATAAAAAGTGGTACTGGTGAAGATAATGGATTGTCCCTGTAAAGGTTAGTAGCAAGTCCATTCCAATATTCTAAACAGATTTTGAAAATTTCTACTTCCTCCACTTCTGAAATCAACACGAGATAATGTAATGCTTTCAGTAAATTCTCATTCAACTGTTTGTTTTCTACTAATTGACCATGTTCCTTTAGATAAGTGCATAGGAACATGGCAAGATTTTGAATAAAATTTTGTTCTTGATCTTGACCGATCGCGTAAGCATCACGTATATTCGTCTCCAAGGATAACATTTGTTCTAGTTGTTCCATTGTGTTTACAAATAGCACAATAAACATATCATCGTAATTGGATACAGTCACTGCAGCAATTTCGGTTAAACACTTCAATGTTACATTTCTGAATATTGGAACGTTTAAAAACTACAAAAATATATATTAATATGTTAGTAATATGAAATGTATCTGTGCAATCGGTTGATTTTAAGTGGTGTCTTGGCAAAATTTTTAAAAATAAAATTATATAAAATACATGTAATTCGTGTCTTTATTTCTGTTACTTAATTCTGCTACTTAATATACATTAATGAATATGTATAATACGAATGGAAGGCACTTACTTTAAATATTAAGGTTGTGATAAGCTTTGTTTCAAAAATATATCCTAAGGGAATCCAATTTAAAAATCTTAAAAGAGTTTCCAAGGTAATAGCCACTAACGAAACATTTTGTGAATTATCCATGACAAATTGACAGAGTTGAAAAATTTGTGAAAATTCGTTGCACATTGTATCTTTTAAATGTTTTGCCTTTGTTTGCGTCATTTGTCCACTAGAAAAGTCAAATACTTCTTCTGATAAAAGCTTCAAAATAGCCATATTATTTTGACAGAGACTCTCATTTGTTTTACTGGCACCTACAATATCATCAATAAAAGATTCCCAGTTTTTTGGCCATTCTCGCTTTAATACCTATCAATTATAAATGCACTTGTTTAAATTTAAATCAAATTTATGACAATATTACATTGATGCTTTAAATATCAAAATCATAAGGATATTAATTTTATAAATCATATAAAACTATGATAATACCTGAACAAGAATCATATTTAATTTATTAAGATAAACTTTGGAAGTTTCAAGAGTTGTAGGATCACTGCTTGTCTTTATAATCAAGCCTACAATGTATTTCTTGATACCTTCGCATTGATTTCGTGGTAAAACTTTCCATCGAGTTTTTATTACTTGTTCCAGAATTTGTAATGCATAGTATTTTGTTTGCTGATTCTATAGTAAAATAACTTTGCTTGTATTTCTTACTAAAATTAATTTTGTTAATTAAAAGTAGTTTTATACCTGTGAAAATTCTAAAATTGTATCAACTCTTGTCCATGCATCCGGATGTTCTTTTAACGTAGTCAGCACCTCTTGTGCAATCCGTTGCTGTTCACCTATTCCCGTGTACATACATCCTACTATATTGTCGAGAAGCGTAATATCCAATTTCTGGTTAAAATCCAGTAATTTAGATGCTTGCTCAGCTAAAGTTGTCATTTTTTATTTTTTTTTTATTAAATTCTTTCGTTTCAAACACACAAACTGAAAAATAATAAATTCTATATTGTAATTGATATATTTTGTTTATTGTTGTTGATGCTTTATATACATAAGTATATGACTTTTAGAGTATTAAATATTTGTTAATTCAAAATAACATGACATCTTTTTACTTCTGTAATTAAACTACGTAGGTAGTAATTTTTTTCTTTTTATTCTCTTAACACAAATACTTTCACAATTTTTATTTCAATGTTGCATCATTAATATTGTATTTAAAAGTTAAGGCTATTTAGTCTTAAATTCTCAAGGAATAATATAATACCATTAAGTTAAAAAAAAAAAAAAAAAGAAGTACGTGTTATTTTTTACCACTATTAAATTTGTATTGTGAGATTATGAAATTTAAATTAGAACCACTAATCTATTAAAATTTAATAAATTTAATAATGTAAAAAGTGAGCACTCAATGTCAAGCAAAATTTCATGAAAGATGAATGTAAAGAAATGTTACATAAAAAGGGTTGATTAAATATTTATTAAAATAAAATATTGAATACAAAAATTTAACTTTTAACAAATTAATAAAGTTAAACGCATTGCTGTACATAATGTAGTAAATCAATTATATAAAACATTTAATTTTAACAATAATTGTTATAATTAATTACAAATATCTATTTTAACATAAATAAATAATCCCTTGACTAATAAATGTACACTTTTAATAAACAAAAGAAATCTGTTCAACAGATTTAAAGTACATTCATTTACAGTTCAATTTTCTGAGTTATTGTATTTCCACAAATGTTCTTGAAAAAAAGAGAAAACAAAAAAAATTAAATTAACATTCCCCTATTACTACAACCCTAGTGTTATTTTTTAGAATTTGTTTAATAATCAAAGACTTACAATGGCGTGTTTCGCACAAATTTTTATAATAATATTAAATGTTGAGAAACTATTTTGAAATGTACAATAAACAAATGCGTGCATAGGTATCTGAGTGAATGAGTGAGTGTGTGTTTGTGTTGTGTGCGCAAGCGTGCACAATGTGCATTTACCGTCAGGCTAATAGCGATACCTTATAAAAAATAAAAAAAAAACAAATAAAAAAAACAAATGAAAGATATATTGCCAATTATTTAAAATAATAAAACCTTGCGAAATCAGGCTAAAATTTTATAAAAGGTCTAATCGAAAGTAAATTAAGAGCATAAAAGCGTTGTACAAATCGTAAAAATAACGTGTTGGTCGTTGTTTTGAGACGGAGAACGAACGCAGCCGAAGGATGCGGAGATGTACAAAGTACTAACTGAGTATCTTAGTACTTGAAACAGGGGCCAACGAGATTTGTTTAGCTTAGATTTGAGAAACAGTACCGATCAACAAGGGGAGGGTTAAGTTAAGTATGGATAAACTTAAGTATCCGTAAAGTTTTCGATATCATCCAAAGAGCCGAATGCGTACGCGTTAAAAATGAAAGAAGGCTAGGGCGAAAATCATAATAGCTGCCACCACCGGCTTTACTTTAAAGGTCCTCCCGAAATCCTTAAACGTGACAAAAACACGCGATACGAGAGAAAGGAGTTTGTTGCGCTCGGTGATCTCTCGCACAAGCGTGCTCCCGTGTAAGAGCGCCTGCGCTCAAAAAGAGAGGTCACCGCACTGCGACCGTTCGGACGGTCCCAACCTAACCTACATTCACCGCGCACGTATGCACTCCATCCTTTGGACGACTTTAAATAAAAGTTTAAAGAGACTTATGCAAAAACGGGAGTGCTAGCCCTTCTCGACGACGACACTCGCGAGCGACTACGGCAGTGCTCCAGACTACTCTTTCGCCTCTCCCGCCCGTACCCCCGGCGTGCTCTCTACCCGTCCACAGCCGTTCCGCACGAGACGGAGGCAAAAAGGCGCGGGAGTCGCGACGTTCCCGGTGCTGATCAACATCAATTTCCGGATCCTTCGACAGTTATCGTCCCGTTCTCTTAACGGCACCCTTCAACGGCCTTACTGTCTCTTTAATTATTTAGCCCCAGGAGATGATTTACACTACCTTGCTCAGCTTCTCTTGGTGATCGCGCGCGCGCACACATACGTATAAGCGAATACACTTGCAGCCGCTGCTCGGCTTTCGCGCGACCCCCTAAAAATTGAGGCACAGTCGCGCAAACAAGCACAACTTCGCGCTAGTTTGCCCGAATCGAAACACATAGAGTCGGTAATAGAAGTCAGTCGGCTCGTAATTTTACAAACTTAACACAAGTATTAAAAAGTTATCCAAACACACTCGCGAACGATTCCCGCGCGCGACCAATTTTCGTTTCTTGTTTTAACGCGCACACAGTCGCCATCTCGCGCGCCTCCTTGCGTTCGTTTTCCATATCGTTTACTCTCGCCATTTCTCTCACCCCACCCCCCTTCGTTTCTCGTTCTTTCTCTCTCATTCTTTCCCACAACTATCCGCATTCTCACACTACACTAACATGTATGTAACACTTACAACAGTCAATCTTGTTTCATCTCTTTCTCTTTCATGCATACTATTTTCCATCTTTCGTTTTCAACGTACACTTCTTTCTCTTTTTCACATATAACATACTCTCATCAACTTTGCCACACGTACACTTACAAACTTTCTTTCTCTCCTTGCGCACGCACGCACGCACACACACCCTTTCCCTTTATCTGTCGCTCATTCGCTCTCGTTCTCTCCTTCTTTTATTCATTGGTCCTAGTACTACAGCAATAAGTGTCTATTTGTCTAGTTCGTACTCGCAATTTGTATCCGTCCTAAGCTTTCTGCGAGCGACGAACAGACAGAGATCGAGAAAACGGTCTTCTGCAACGCATCTATTAACAATTTGCTTATTTATCTCTCTCACTCTCTCTTTCTTCCTTCCTTCCTGCCTTCCTCTCTCACTCGCACACGCATACACACACACATATACGCAAAACACACTCGCATACACTCACTCACTCTCCCTCCATCTCAACCTTTCTCATTCCTATTCCCATTCTCATTCTCATTCTCACTCTCACTCTTTC